ACCTGACCTCTTCAGCCTTCAGGTGTTTCCTGTTGAGCCTGTGGTAATATGTATTATTTGTAACATGTTTATTTATTACCTAGTGATAACTCATAGGTTGTTATGCAGCTTTTCACATCTGTAGGTCCTTTCTGTGCAACTAGAGTGTGAGATTCCAAAGTTAGATACTATGTATAAAGTGCTTGGTAAATATTTTTCAAAGAAATAGTACATCAAGATATAATAGCAATTCTATCTAGAGGAAATTCTGGATTTATAGGAAACAGAAGAATCAGGATGAATAGTAAGTTAATGGTTTAGGAAACTTGATGTGTGATGAAGTTATTCTTTAAGCTGGGGAATTCTGCAAGTGGAACAAGTTTGGAGGAGTGGAGAGAGAAAAAGAATTTAGAAAAATGTTTCATTCTATAATTCCCTGTTGGTGATTCTCAAAGAATACTAGGCAAGTGAAGATTTTGAGACTGAAGTCCTAGCCAAAGGAACATATTTTACTGTATTCATCCCACAACACCCCAAATGAATAAACATGGTTTTAGAAATCCTGGTATAAATAATGCAAGAAAAGAGGCAGGGCTAGAAAGGAACCCTGGAGAATAACTAGTGTGTGTGTGTGTGTGTGTGTGTGTGTGTGCGCGCGCACGCGTGCACACGCGCGCGTGCACATATATGTGTGTGTGTGCACAGGCACACATGTGCATGTGCTGAGGATGGAGCCCAGGGCCTTGTGTATGCTAAGGACACACTGTGCCCCTGAGCTACACCACAGCCCCAGAATAACTAACTTCTAAGGAATAGCAGGAGGACCTTTGAAAAAGAGCAACTAGAAAGGTAAGAGGAGATGGTAACCCTGGGTTTTAATCCTGGCTCAGTCCTTCCACTGATATTAGAAAAACTGAGTCCCATCCATTACCATGGAATAGCAAGGGAAGCCATGGGCCATGCCTTGGAATGTGGAGGCTTCTTTGGAAGAAAGAGGACTTTTGAGCCCTTTCAGTATTAATTGAAAGAAACCCATGATCTCATCACTTGTTCTTCTCAAAGAAATCACTTTTTTTTTTTGCTAAAAGGAAGCCATATTAACATTCTCAATTGTACACAAGAATAATCTAACATTCTTTCTTAGAGTAAAATGGTCTTCACATCATGTACAACCAGAAGAATGGGAAGTTATACTCCATATGTCAAAATACATTATACTGTCATGTATAATTACTAAGAGCAAATAAAAAATAAATTGATTTTTCATGTTGTACAAGAATAAAAAGTTATATGCAAAAAAAAGAGTAAACAGTCTTAATTTGGCCTGATATAGGCAAGGACAATAAAAAACTTAACACAGAAAAAGAAATGTTCCGAATGAGTCATTCCCTATCTTCTAGGACTATTCTTAAACTTATTTTAAATGTTTCTGTATAATCTCAACATAGTCAGATCCTTTTTTTTTTTCTTTTCCTATTTGTGCATGGGAAGCTCAGAAAGGGTGAAAAGCAGAACAAGGGGAAAGGCCAGACAGTAGTTCACATATTACATGGTGGGGCTGTATCATGGTGCAGCCATTTTGGAAAACATTTTAGCAACTCCTCAAAAATTTAACACAAAATTGCCCTATGAACCAGAAATTTCACTACTAGTTATGTGTTCAAAAGAAATGAAAATATATGTCCATACAAAACCTGTACACTTACAGCAGCATTACAATAGGCAAAATGTAGAAACAACTCAAATGTTCATCAGCAGTTGAATGGGTAAGCCAATTGGCCATATTCATACAATGGAACATTATTCAGTCATAAAAGGACTGGAGTGTTATACATGGTTAAACCTTGAAAATATGCTAAGGGGAAAAAATCAGACAGGAAAACAACAAATTGTGTGATTCCATTTATACAGAACATCCAGAATAGGCAAATCCACAGAGAGAGAAGGTAGATTAGTGGTTGCTCAGGGCAGACAAAAGGGAATCATGGTGAGTAACTGCTAATGGGCATGTTTTTTTTTTTTTTTTTTGTGGTGATGAAAACGTTCTAAAATTAAATACAATGATGGATGCACAGCTCTGAATATAGTAAAACTACTGAGTTTTACACTCAAAAAAGGATAAACTTTTTGGTATGTGAATTGTGTCTCGCAAAACTGAATTCAAAGGAAAAGAAAATGCAAGGGGGGATAGATAGAAATTTTCTATTATTATTCTCCAAGCAACAGAAAATTAGCAATTTGTCATTTTCTGGTTCTTCAGTCCAAATGCTTTGTCACCAGCTGTTTACCTCCACAGCTGGTGGCAGCTGAGAGACCATCACTCTTATCCTCCATTTATTTTATTACAGAATAATTTTAGGTGGCAAGATTAACCTATTTCCAATTGAGATTTCTTTTTCTCCTAGTTCAAATAATAGCTAAACTCTTGATTTCTGATATATTTGTACCAGTGACTTTGTTTAAACATTTACACAGTGTAGCATAGGATACGCTCATTTATGTGGTTTATCTGTGTATTTCTTTTCTTTCTTTCTTTTTTTTTTTGTATCAGAGATTGAATTTATGGATGTTTTGGATGTTTAACCACTGAGCTACATTACCAATCCTTTTTATTATTATTATTTCTTATTTTGAGACAGGGTCTCACTAAGTTGCTTAGGGCATAAGTTGCTGAGGCTGACTTTCAACTTGGGATCCTCTTGCCTCAGCCTCTCAAGTCACTGGGAATATAGGTGTATGCCACTGCACCTGGTTTATCTGTATGTTTCTTAGGTCACTTTTCTAAATGTCAGTGGTAGAGTGTTCACCTAGCATGTGTGGGGACCTGGGTTCAATCCCTAGCATTTGACCTCCAGCATCACTAAAACAAAGTCATGTTTGTTGATATATAATTCATATTCAGCCATTTCACACTTGAAAAGTTTCCAGTTTCATGAATTTCAGTGAGCATTTATAGTCATGTAACCACTGCAGAGCCTAAGTCAGTTTCCATTACCCTAAAATGTTCTGGCATACTCTATTGTCGTTAACTCCCCTTTTCCATCTTCAAACCCTGATTGGATTTCCTTAGGGCACTTTTCTCCTGTTTGTTTGTTTGTTTTTTGACATTGCGATACATCCCCGGTCCTTCTTTTTTATCATGAGACAGGCTCCCACCAAGTTGCTGAGAGTCTCCCTAAGTTGCTGAGGTTGGCCTTGAACTTGTGATCCTCTTGTCCCAGCTTTCCCAGCTTCCAGAGTGACTGGGATTACAGGCATGTGGAATCAAACCTAGTTCATGCTTCATTCTAAGGTTAGTCTCTACAGATGGGATCCTGGTGTATATCCCTAGGGAATCCAATATGGTACCTGACATCTAAAAGACACTCTGTCTATAGGTGCTTAATAAATGAATGAACTTTTTTTTTTTCTTAGATTCTGCCCAATCATATTGGAGACTGCTCTCTGATTTTCCCTTTCCACCCCAGAGAAACTACCTATGGTGGGAAAGCCTCTTCCTGATCCTTAATTCTCATGATGTTATAAAAAATGTCAGAAAGTGATTTTCAGCTTCCAAGATTTGGTTGATCATTTCAAGGTATCCCTAGAAATTGGGCGTATGTTCACAACTTTGTGGCCTCAATTAGCAGGCAGGCTTCTATTCTCTCAACCTAAACAGATGGAAATAGAATCTGGGGCCATTCTGGCTGCTTTTCTCTTTTCCCTCTGCTAGCCATCTCTGGTCCCTTCATTTTCATAAGGCAAGAAAGGCCTAGAGTCTTATCCAGAGCTTCCCTGAACAAGTTCTGTGAGATTCCAGACCATCTTTAGAACCAACTCCTGGAGTGGAATCAGACATCTGCTTGAACCTTTCTCATCATGCAGGGAGTAGCCCTGTGAAAACTCACTTGCAGCTGCCTCATCAATCAGGCTGAGATTCCATTGGTCCTTCTTGATGGATTCTTGTTCTTTCTTGATGAGAGTCAGGAAACAAACATTCCCCGAAGGGTTGTAAGAGGCAATGAACACAATCTCCTTCTGTCTGGCCAGTTCTATGAAATGGTCTAGTTCTCAAAAAGAACCCTTCTTGAAAATTGTGTCTTTTCCTCCACGTTGTTCAATGATCCCCTAGCAGATGGGTCCCTATGCACCCACCTTCTGGGGGCTAGCAGTCTCCTGCTCTGTCCTCTGCCCAAACAGAGCAGGCACCACAGAAAATCGCACTTCACCTCTGGTGATGCTGCACCAAGGATGCGTCTTCATCCAAGACAAAGCCTTGATGCTGGCTGGCATCAAATTGCATCCCTTTTCTTCCCTTTTATCTCCACACTTGTGCCCTGTGGCTTCCCTGGAGCAGTTCTGGTAGACTCATAATCCCTGCTCCTAGGAGAAAATTATGCAATGCAAATCTGTACCAGGTGCTAACCATTACAAGGTGTGAACAAAAATGGAGTTCTGTTTTATAATGCTAAATAAACAAAACAACCAAAAGATTTTGTCTTTGGATACCTGGAATAACTGTAGTTCATAACCCAATGGACAGATCAAACATTGCTCAACCAAAGGATGCCAAAGAAATTCTTGCTACAGTAATGATATGAAGATCTTTTAACTCTGTGCCTATTAAATGTTTGTTTGAGTTCTGCTATAATAATATTACTTCACGCAGGCCTCTTGCTCCTGCGTGCACACGGAGGTATAATGGGAATCAAATAAAAATGAAATGCTGCATAGCTTCACTTAGGATACTTTTGTTTCTATTGAACATCTATCTGTGTATGTATGGGGGTAGCAGGGAGCACTCTGTGCCAGGCAGAAGCCCACTCGCAGGCGGCCCCTGGCTCCTGCTGCGGGTCCAGCGCCTCCCGCAGCATCACGCTGCAGAGCACCCCGCGCCGCCGTCGGCCTGGCGCCTAGAAGAAGGGCAGGCGTGGGCGCCGCAGGGGTGGGGCGGACCTGAGCGGCGACTCTGGGTGGCAGTTCCCGCGGCGGTGGCGGTGGCGGTGGCGGTGGCGACAGTTCGGGACATGGCACAGCACGCGATGGACTCTCAGGACTGCGAGGCGGACGCGGCCCCTGGGCCCCCAGCCTGCGACTTCGTGGCCACCTGGTGGAACATGGTCCTGCGGAACCTGAGGTGAGTACGCCCCGCCAGCGACACAGGAGCCCCTATGGCAGGACAGAGGTCGCGCAGGGCGAGCGTCCCCGCAGCCTGGCCCTGACACAGAAGCCCTACCCTTGCCCCACTTCGCGGACTCCTGGCCAGCACTGCGGCACCAGGGGGCTTCAGTGGCCTTCAGAGTCCTGCAAGTTTCCAGGGCTCCTTGGCATGGTCTTATGCTCAGTCTTGACCCCCCTACCTGGGCCAGTGAATCTCACAGAACTGACCTCCAGAACTTAAAATTTTAGGAGAGGAGGGGGTTTGAAGTTGAGATTTGAAATAGAAGTCGGGTTCCTATACCAAAATCTCTTTTCATCTATTTTTCACTAATATACAAAATGGATTTTGATACTACTAACAGTAGTGGTAATAAGAATATACTGTGTGCAATTATCTTTGCTGGTCTTCTTAGGTCAAGGAACTGTCAGTGTAGATGGAAAAAGGTCAGAAAGTTGCTGCCTGGCTCCCCAAATGTGAATGATCAGGTGTGCATTTAAAGAACACCTCCACAAATGCTAAAGCTATGTAGTACATTGAAATCACAAAGTGGTGTTGCCTGTGCCAAGTTCTCACATTGTTTAAATCTAGAAATGTCTGTATTTTAGAGGGATATATCCCTCTGATATATGTGTGTATATATATATATCTTCTTCCCATGGGTTGAATAATAATTTTCAATTACTGGAATTGATTAGCAACATACCACCAGTCTTGTTCTCGTGGAAACCAGGTATTAGTTGGAGACCTGGACACGGAAGACTTTCATATTTCCTGTTGTTTTATTGATGTGGTAAGGTATTGGCATTTTTGTTTATATTTCTTCTTTCTATTCATTTTTAATTTGTGTGGATGACAAAAAAATCCCAGAATCGTATCCAGACACAGGAGACTTCACTTTGGAATGTGATGATGACTACTGGGGATCTTTTCTCTTCCTTCCCTAGCTTAGTGCAGTTATCATAGAGTGGCTCTCTCTGATGAGGTATGCAGAACCCATACCAGGACACCTTTGGAATATTCTGTCTGTACTTTTCAAATTTCACAATCATAGGACTCTCTGCTTCCTGCCCCACCTTATTTGGTTATTCTAGGAAAGCTGGCATCTGCCACCTCTCCCTTTTCGTAGACTTAATGGCTGATTACTTAATGTCCATGCTAACAGAGCTTTGATTAGGTAGAGATTCAAAGCTGCATTTTCATTCTCTTAGAGAACAACCTACTTTTGTTGATAATGGAGTAGGAGGTTGGGAGTTGGGGACCCCATGATTTATATTACTAATTAATAAAAAATAACTCTCAAGAGATGATGATCTCTGAAAGGATAAAGTACCAGTGTTTTTTTTTTTTTTTAATCGAAACAGATTATTGATCTAACATAAAACATGTTAAGGCTGAGGCATAGACCTGTTTCTGGCACCTGGAATCCTTTTAGTTTCTTGGAGCCAAGTAGGTATAAATCAGCAAACGTTCATGGAGGATTTGCTGTGTGCTTGGCCCTGCTTATAGTGCTAGGTCTATTGTCACGTTTTCAGAGGCTTAAGGAGAACATTTAATCATATTATACTTTCGGTGGTAGTCTATTTATTTACTTTTCAAAAATTTCATCTGACATAATTGCTACTTAAGGTGGGTTGGTCCTTTACAGTAAGTCTCCATCGCAAATGATCTTTAAATTGGAAAAAATGGAAAACATTCCCAGGAAAGAAGATGGCATAGGTCAAAGGTTATTTTCTTCCTTATTTGCCTATGTCACCAAGTTGTCACATTTCTAGAGTGCTTAGTAATATGCAGATAAACTAGTCATTCTTCTCACAGGTTATCTACTATCTCTGATGCTCTTTCCTATATCATAGGTTCAAGGAACAAATGAAATAAATAATAATAATAATAATAATAATAATAATATCCCTGTTCTTTTAGAACTCTCAGTGATCTCTTTTCAATTGTAGTTCAAAATAAAGAATAAAAGAATGAAGCCCTCCCTTTCTCCCCCAAAACTCCAAAAATCGTGGCTCATGAAAGAAATACACCTTTCAGCCTTCAATCTGTGGTTCAACAGATATTTATTGAACTTGGCTCTGTGCTACACAGGTGAGATGTAAAAGAAGCACACATATCACATGATTCATGCCTGGCACAGTGAGGGGAAGATGGGCTAATAATGAGAAAACTATCAGAGAACAAGGTAGGGTCAAACTGAGGCCCCATTATAATTAGTGGGAAGGATGGAAAGAAAGGGAAGGTCACTGTGGGAAGATCTGTCTTGGGAGACTTCCACAAAGAAGATACACTTGAGTGTGTGTGAAGGGGTAGGGGTGGAATTTGGTTTGGATGATGCATCTTGGTACTCAGTGATCCACACATGTTGGCTGCATGAGTCAGCAGGTAGGAAGGATGTACAAAGCATCTTCGTATTTGGAATAGTTGTTTGACCAAATGTGGTTGTATTTGGGCTCCCAAAAGCTGGTTTGCAGACACCTCTGAGTAGGAATGTTATCAGCTCAGATTCCACTAGGTTTCACCAGTAAGAATCATCCATTTAGGTGCCGTGCCTCTGTGGGATGCTTCACGGTTATAGCCACCACTGATCAAAGGGCAAACAAAGAACACCAAGGCACCAAGCTTTTTTTGATGTGGCTGGCTGGTAGCAGAGATTGAGCTGAAACTGCATCCTCTGCTCAAATAAGGTCTATTAGCCACTGGTGAYTTTTGATCCCCCACTGATCTAGGGGAAGTCAAATTGACAACCCCCTACTTAAAAGAAGCGCCTTTGCATTATTGATGCTCTGAGGAATCTGGTCACTCTGTTCTTTTCCCGCAGTGCTTCTCAGAGAAGTGCCTTGAGCTATTTGAGAGAAGGGTCGTGTATGAATTATTCTTTTAAAAAAGAAACGCATTTCCCTCTACTGCTTCTGCTTCCCAAGCAGACCTTCAAAAGATAACTTAGCGGGAGACTACCCTGCCTACCTTCAAAAGATAACTTAGTGGGAGACTAACAGGCAGGGTAGCAGTGAGTGCAGGGAATCTGGCAAGAGCAAGCAGGAGGCAGCCCAAACTGGGAGCAGGCACAACTCTGCCAACCTGTGTTCCCTTGTGCCCATGTTGCCTTGATCTGTGGCTCAAAATGGTCTCCCTAGGTGTTGATTTCTTATCTCTAAAATCAGAGCAATGACCTCTTTTTCCTGYTGTCTTCAGGGGGGTTATTTTACAGTGTTATGAAACAATCATCTTCATTTATTTCTTGCTGATTTTATGAGTAGGGTAATTTCCCATGTGCAATGTATTTGAAGAGCCATCTAAGATCCTTAGCCCATTTCTTTTCCACTCTTTCAGAACTACCGGGAATCTATCTTCTCCCTTCAGTACTTGAGGGAGAATTAATATTTTAGGGGGTATTTCTTTGGTGACTTTGTCATCAGAGGGCTTCTGAGAACACAGAAACAGCAAGGAGGAAAGAAGGTGGGAGAAAGTAGGGACCCCAAGAAAGGGCAAGGGTGCAGACGTGGAGAAGAGGATCCTAAAATAAGAGTCTCTAAGAACAKAACTATGCCAGAGGCTGGCCTTGTTCCTGGGGTTCACTTTGCCTACACGAAGGGCAAGTTGAACTCAGCAGGAGAGTGACAGCTCACTGTAGTTTTCACAGGGGTCAGGCAGACTTGGGGATGTGTGACTCATTCCTTGGCCTGCAAGGCTGGGAAGGACTTTTAGCTTTGTAGACTCCTCATTTGTGAAGCAGAGGTAACACTTATCTTCTAAACTGCCTCTTGGGTAGCAGAAAAATCAGGACAGTAGAACAGAGTGCTTTCTATCTTTCCAACCTTACAATATGACTACATTGGGCAGTCTTAATGTTGGTAGATTACAATAGGAAAAGGATTTATTGAATAGACGATGTGGACAAAAACTGGAAGCAGATAATAATATTAACCTCCTGTGTCCCTCATCTGTCAAAAATGGAAGACCTCTTGACCTTCATGAGAGATGTGATTCAAKACAGAGGTGGAATTAGTGACCCCCATGGACAAATCATCACGTTGATGGTTTGTGTCATAGAGGACAGTAGAATGCGCAAGACGCCGATGGTCTCATCCCACTTCTTCCAGGTCCCACCCTCCTGCTCCCCACCCTCTTCTCACAGGTGCCTCTCCTCCAGGAATGTCACTCAGAAGTGGGGGTGTTCTCTCATTGGATTTTTTTTCCTCCTAAGACTCAGTCAGAAGAGAGAAGATCTAATGATGTCACTCGCTGCTTTACATAGTAGGAGCAACAGCTAACCTGTGTAGTGCTGCGTTGTGATGTGATTTTGAACACAGAAACTATTAAGCTGGCTGCATCTTGTTTACTAATGACTTTGGGGTCTAGTTTTGGCCTTCTATGGGGCAACACGGAGGACAAATCTGACCCTGGTGCATTCGTCAGCTCTTGCCCTCCTTCCCTGTCATGCCCTGGCCTTTTCAGGGACTAGACAGGGCTCTGTCTTCTTCACTGGGTTTCTCTTCAGGGCCCAGCTTAGACAAGTATGTGTAGTTCTGTGAAGGATTTTGCTTAATCGCCCAGTTACCTGGAATGCCCAATGTTAGTCTCTAAAGTTTGATTTGAACTATGGGAGAAAAAAACAAACCAAGTCMAACTTGGACTGATTTTGAAAACCTTGTGTGTTTCCCAATATCTTGCAGATCTCTTCCACACTCCTGTTCAACACTCAGAGGAAAAATTGCTGCTCTGTACAACAGCTTTACTAGTAAACCATTAAAAGAACACATTTTCCCTCCTCTGATGGACATGCTGATTTATTTTAATTTTTGTAAGTGTATACTTCCCATGAATTTATCCCAAATAAAGATCTCACTGTCCTTAATGTTATAACATAATGAAAAAGACTTGTAAATTACAAATTTGTGGCTAGATTTAAACAGTCTGAAACCTATTTTCAGTATTGATTTTTGGAGGCTAGCATAAATCCTTTAAGCTGTTGGGAATAGGCAAAGTCACTTGTATGATTTGTGACTGGGCCTTGTGACTGGGGTTTCAGTTCAGGACCTCAGTCTTCAAATTAGCTGTTGACATGGATACCTGACTGCTCACGGAATTCTGTTTTTCTCTTTTCTCTCTTATAAGAATCCCTTGGAGAAGTAGGGGATGGGGGAGGAAAAGAAAAAGGGGGAGGAAAGGAGAAGGAAGAGAGCAGATAGAGGAAGGGACTCCTGGGTGCTATTGGTCAGTGTAACAGTCCTAGCTCTTACTGACCAGCTCCCTAGTATACCTCAATCACTTCTGGCCTTAGGCTAATGATTAGGTTTTTCTTCAGTGGCAGAATATTCATTGTTTCCTTCTGGGCCCTCTTACCTTATCAGAGGAATGGTTTCCTCTGCTGTTAGGTTGAGCCAAAGAGAAGGATTGAACAAACTCTCTTACTCTATTGTGGGCTACCATGCTGGTGCTATTATAAAATCTAGCTTTAGGTTTTATTTCTTTTTTATTTCTGCTGGCTAGCCCTAGTTGATAAAACTCTTTGCAAGTCATTTAGTGGCTTGCAACTTAGAAACCAGTTTGCCTACAAAGACTCATTCCTGTTTGTTTGCTTTTTTTTGGTTGTCATTAAAAGACGTGGAATTTGATTGATTCTGGTAGTCAATAATTTTTATTTTCCAGACAAAGCTCCATTTCTTGTGGATTTAAAGAAACCAGAGTCAAAGATTCCTCACACGGTGAACTTCTACATAAGGGTTGAACCCCGAGTGATGCTGGGAATCTGGTGAGTACATGGATTGGACACTGAGATGCTTGATGGACCAGGTTTTCCTGTTAGAAGGGCAAAGGGGAACAATGCTGCCTTACCTGTCTGCGTGGGGGTTGGTGCTCCTTGGGAATCRTTCCATAACACCTTCTCCTTACAGTGAAATCTGACCTGATTAATTCTGCTTCTCAGGAATTTTTGCTTCAGAGTGTGAGGTCAGATGTTGCCCTTGGCTTGTGGGCCCTGCACCTCTTCTTACTCCACACCACCCTTGTTATGTCTTCTGCTCCAGGCACATCAAGCCACAGTTCCCCAGGATATGCTTTGTCCCAGCACGTCATTCTGCCTCATCTTCTTGCATGCCCTCCTTTTGCATAGCTAATTGTCTACTCATCTTTTTTGGGTTTTGCTTTAACTGACAATTTTAAGGAAAACTTTTCCTTAGACCCCATTTTAAGCATGTGCTTTGGTGGCCGCCTGTGCTTGTCTTGTCCATGAAGACGTTTTTTTTCTCATAATTAAATAAATGTTTGTGTGATTATTTGGTTAATGCCTGTTTTCCTTATAAAACCACAGCTTGCAGAGAAGACAGACTTTGGTGGTGGGCTCTGACCGATTAGCCTAATTCTTGGTACATGAAGGGCATGCAATAAATATTTGTCAGATGAAGCCAGGAACGTTCTGTTGCCTTTTTCTGTTATGCTAATCTCAGTCTTTTCTTGTTTGGTTCTACTACTTATTCTTGGCTGACAAATTTCCAGTGCTCTGTCTTACACTGCGTCTCCCTGAGTTTAAACCTCTGATCATAGAATGTTTGGGAATCAATATGGGTGCACATGGTTTCTTCCTAACCTGCAGGGAACAGGTCAGCTAACAGTGTTGGAATTGGGAAATCTTTCTGTTCTTTGCTTTTCCCCCTCTGGCCCTCRGTTTGTTGAGATGGTTGTCTCATTAGAACCAACTCACTCAGGAAGTGGTGCCTGTCCCTTAATAATCAAGAGAACGGAAGCTTTGTCATTTCTTGATCTGTTTTGCAAGTCCCCTGTGACATGTCWTGTGTCAGCATTTGCATTTTTAGGGTTCTTTCATTGGTTTAGCAAGATGGAGGAACAGGACCACACAGGTATTTATGATCACAAGATCACATGATTTCATGGATAGAATAGCTTGGCTTCATGTTGAAGTTCTCTTTCCTACATAACTTGATTTTTCCTTTAAAATCTCTCTAACTTTTTCTCTTCAGCCAAACTAATGGCAGATGGCAAGTATCTATTATCTTTTACTTGTCTCTATTTGTTTTTGGTTATTTCAATGGACTGCACCTAAGAACTGGAGTCTTGAAAGCTTAATGGGTACAAGACTCAAGAGAATTGAAACAGTAAATGGTTAAAAGTGTTGCCTTTGTTCATGGGCCAGTGGGTCAGGACAGTAAGATTTTCATCATAAGATGTTTTGTGGTATTATATTTTAAATTTAATTGGTGCATGTATTACTCATGTAAAAATTTAAAAATATTCTAGAATAGAATATAAATATATGAATGTATAAATAATATAAATACATAAACACACACACACACACACACACAGGTGCCCCATAATGAAGGCCTCAGATTTTGGCAAGGATAGAGAATTCCTCCCTCTTACATGTTTTTGATAACCTCCTTCCTCTTCAGGCACACAGTCCCCAGCTGTCGGGGAGAAGATGCCAAGGGGAAGGACTGTTGCTGGTATGAAGCAGCCCTTCACGATGGGAACCCGATTATTGTTTATCTTCACGGCAGTGCAGAACATAGGTCAGTGCCTCTGCTTGCATTTTTTTTTTTAAGGAGATTAAGAGCATCTCAGTGTTGCTGTGGGAGAGTGAAGCAGGATTCAGTTTTTAAACTGTGCTGGCATGTCTTCACACATTTTTTTTTTCCTTTTTTGAAATCTAAGGGTGTTCTGGCAAAAGACTTCTCTTTAGAAAATTGTTTTATGAGAAGAATAATATGGATCCTTAACTGGGATGGAGAAAAGAATGATTCTTCCAAAATCTGGATGTTGATTTCAGAGAAGGCAGTGGTTCCTTTACTCCTTAAGAATATCCAAACTGATAGCTTGAACCTGTTGTCAGAATCAAAATGGAGTCTTTTTGTCAAGTTTGAACCACAAAGTCAATAAATAAAACCAGAAGGTTTTGAAGATTTGCATGCATCTATGTCCCATAACCTGATAATAGGAATTATTCACAGGTCACTCTGCCAAAACCACAGCCTGGTACAAAGCCCACTTCAACCTTAGACAGAAATACTTGTGCAAGGACGTCTGCCCAGCAACTCTCTGTTCAATCTCTGACTGGTGCTACCCTTGTTATTAATCCTTGTTCCTGAGGCTTATCATTTCCAAATATCTTATGTAATCCTCCTGATTTTGCATTTAAGAACTTCCCCTTGCCTCATTCTTTTTGAATACACTCATAGTTTACTGTGGCATACATAGTTCCACGGCAGTGCTCTGCTATTCCTGGATATTCTTCAAATACTCTTTGGAGAATCTCTCTCTGATTGTTATTTAGGTTGACAAACCCATGGATGACTGGAAAGGGGTCAGGCATGCTTTCTGAGGGAAAGGAAGATCAATTTCCACATCAATGGACTTTTCAGAAAACTACAGTGGAGAGTCCTTTATTTAGCATCAACCCTGTTAATTAAAAGGATGACACCTAGGAGAAATCATCTGGAATTCTGACCCCAGGAATTGGGGGCCATCTGACTAATTCTAGTCTAGAATATTCATGCCTCACCTCACTCTCTAGTCCCTACCTTGCTTTGTAAGGAAGAACGTTTCCAGGAAGACTGGCTGTCCTTTGATGTGCTGTCAGAGCTGTCCCTGGACCTGTCTCATTACCTTAGGTGATGGATATGAGCCATGACTGCACCTCTTTGGTCTGGGGAGGGGCGCTGAGGCTTGAAGCCCACCGGTCTCCATTCATCTCTGGAGGGAACTTCCAGCTAAGTGACAAGCCCTGGAATCTGCCTCTTGGCTAGCTTGCCTGTGTCTTTTTTCTCCCTTTTTTTTTCTGTCAGGTGATGTCTTTTTCTCATGACTTGTCTTTCCTCAAGGGGCTTGCTTGATGTGTCCATTTCAGAATCACATTTGTTGAGGTTTCCTGCGGAATTCGGCAGTCTTCGACATTGTTCAGTGCAGCGTAAACTTGGGCAGGGTGCTGCAATGTGCTTATTTGAAGGATCACGGGGAACATACTTACCGTGTGTGCCTCTGTGTGAATCTGAAATTGTCCCCAGTTGTCCTAGAGTCATTGGTTCTGGGGTTGGCCACACCTGCCTCTTGGCTTCTGCCCAAGAGTCTCAGCTTGCTGTCAGAAAATGGTTTTAAAGAATCCTCTGTCTTTTGACTCATTTTTGTTAATGTGAGAATAATCAATAGGGTCATTTTGTGGAAGAAACATCTTTTGTCCTTGCAGGGCAGTGAGCCTCACTCCTTCACCTCATCTTGTGTTCAATGACACAGGGGATGGGATACAGGCAAATTATAATTTARTGCAACTTGACTCCATCATCCCTTGTTCTGAAGAGTCATTTTCTGGAACTTACTTCCCTTTAGCTTCTAAAAGTATTCCTAGAGATAAGTCTAGTTGCATAGAAATGAAAGGAGATGGATTATCAGTACTTCATCAGATGCTCACCTCAGAGAGATTTGGGCSCCCAACGCGTGTGTGGAGAAATGGCCAACAACAGGGCCATTGATCACTCTCCCTGAAACATCTAAGCTGGCTCTGCTACCAAGAAGCAGTTCTCTTGCTCCCAGTTGTTTATTTCTCTAATCTAAAAAAGAATGGCATGAAATGCCAACAGCATTTGAGTGATTTTTATTGAACTCATCATCGTAATTCATAATTCTTATTTTTTTTTTCCCTAACCTCTTCTATAGGGCAGCCCCTCACAGGCTTGAGCTGGTAAAGGTATGTCTGAAGAGGCCTCACAGAAGTTTGTTTGCTCCTTCCTTCCTTCCTTCTTTCCTCTTCCTTCCTTCCTTCCTTCCTCTTCCTTCCTTCCTTCCTTCCTTCCTTCCTTCCTTCCTTCCTTCCTTCCTTCCTCCCTTCCTCCTCCTCCTTCCTTCCTTCCTTCCTTCCTTCCTTCCTTCCTTCCTTTATTTCTCCCTTTCTTGGTGGTGCTGGGGATTGAACCCAGGACCTTGCTCATCCTAGGCCAGAGCTCTACTACTAAGCTATATCCCCATGTACTAAAGAGGCCTCAAAACATCAGTTCTGTAAATCCCCATTGATTCCCTTCTGGGCTATAGTCATAAGATCTCCTTAGGTCCTTAGCCTGGTTATCTCCTGAGAGGTCCCAGGGTGAGTTGTGATGTCTGGGACCTCATACACTTTCATGCACTCGTTCCCTTCATCTCAAAAAAAAAAAAAAAAAAAGATGGAAGACACTTAGATTTTTCTCCCCCCTCCCCAAGGATAGGGGATAGGTGTATTAAATGGGAAATTTCTTCTCCTTGTATAAGGATCTCTTAAGTGGTATAGAATAAAAATTCCGAATGTCTTCTTTTAAAAGTCCATGAAACCCTGGCTTTAGTCCTACATAAAGTTTTGCAGAGTAGCCTGGTGGCTGCGCTRTGCTGTCCTCACTTCTCACTCCAGTTTGTTGGGACATTCCCTGCATTTCCAAGTGTGAGGAACATGGCTGGCTCTCCACTTAGCCATATCTGCCTCAGAACTGGTCCAGCGAGCTGCCTGTTGATCCTCTGCAGTTAGGTAATCTCTGTTGCAGGTGACTGGGCTGCTATTCCATTATTGACCCTGAGGCTTGGTCTTTCCTCCCACACACTGGCTTCCTCCTCAGTTCTTTCCAGCCTAYAAACTGGCCTATAATCTGTCCTGTGATCTAGGCCTATAATCCTGCCAGCCTCAGTATCTCTAGCACTTCTTCACCCGCCCTCCCTGTGCAGTCAGGAAACTCCACTCCTTTCCACACCTCCACCCATATCAGTGCATCTCACAGGTGACCCTTGCCGATGGGTTGTGCTGGGTGAGATTAACAACTGAGYACTGGAGAGTTTCAGTAATTTGTTCAGTCACCCAGTTTTCAGAGGCAGGAGGATATCTATTCATTTGTGGGTTTGCTTTCTATCCCACATTGGCCCTTTGCTATTCGTACTTAGGAAATGGTGAAGCAGATGATGATCAGAATTGAGGGTTTTTTTCCCCTCCCACTCAGAGCTGAATTGCATGACCTCAGTGTTCCCAGAAAGAAGAGTTGTACATACGAAAAGAAGGCGGCTAGTCCCTGTCATGGTTAGGATGGCTGGGGAAGGCAGTGGCTGGTATGACTTTTCCCCTGGCACCTTTTGTGTACCAAGTGCTGCCTTCACCATTGCCGAATAGGACCAGGCTTCCAGAGCCTTCCCTTTTCTACTTTGGATAGGTGCTTTCTTTCAGAAAACAAATCTTTTTTTTTTTTTTTTTTTTTTTGTACCTGGGATTGAACTCAGGGACACGCAACCCCTGAGCCACATCCCCAGCCCTATTTTGTATTTTATTTGGAGGCAGGGTCTCACTGAGTTGCTTAGCACCTCGCTTTTGCTGAGGATGGCTTTGAACTTGCGATTCTCCTGTCTCATCCTCCCAAGCTGCTAGGATTACAGGGATGTGCCACCTCTCCTGGAAGAAAGCAAGTCTTTTTATTAAATTCTTCCTTGCTTGCTTGCTTCCTTTCTTGATTCTGTTCCTTCAATCACTTAGTGCAGCTATTCACATTTATTTGTATTTCCCCRTCTTTATTTCTCTTTTTATACAAAGAGGAAATATGACACTATGATTGTCTCTATATATCTATATATAAGTTTATGTTATGCTCTTTTAATACTGTTTTGTAAATATCCTTCCATGCTTTTAGTTATCATAATTAACCAATTTAAAGCTTCCTATTTATTTACAAACTTTGTCTACTTAACTCCTCCATTACTGTTGGATTTTGTTTTTCTGAATTCATTTTAAATAGTATTACTACTGAAAACTTTAAGCATGTAGTTTTTTTTTTTAATTTCTTTTTTTTTTAAATGGGACTGGGGATCAAACCCAAAGCTTTGCACACGTTATGCAGGCACTATATCCCCATCCTTTTCCCTTCTTTTTTGGCATATTTTCCTAGAGATRAATTCTTAGGAGAAGGACTTGCTACTCTTGTTGTTCTTGAGTTGTGTTGTCAAATGGTCCTTTAATACATGTGCCATAAGTTACACATGATTATCCCCATTTCTCTGAATGCTTAGCTGCCACGTGTGTTAGCTTTTCTTGAGGGAATGTAATTTGAATTGATATTTAAAAGTTCCATTTAATTTCTAATTATTAGTTCAACTTGTATTTAAAATGTCCTCCGTGAGGTTTAGCTGCTCACATCTGTGCTGAAGGAGGGGAAGCACAGTACTTGGACATAGGCAGAATCTTGGATCTGCCTGTGAAAACTGGGTGACAGAACAAATTACTGAAACTCTCCCGTGCTCAGTTTTTTAATTAATTAATTAATTAATTAATTATTTTTTATGGTATTGGGGATTGAGCCCATTTAACCACTGAAACACATTCTCAGAGTTTTTCATTTTTTTATTTTGAGATGGTCTTGTCAAGTTGCCTAGGGACTTGCAAAGTTGCTGAGGCTGGCTTTGAACTTGTGATCTTCCCACCTCAGCCTCCTGAGCTGCTGCAATTACATGAATGTGCCGCGGTGCCCAGCTCTCAGTTACTAAGAATCTGTAAAAYGAGAATAATATCTAACTTACTGTCATGAGGGTTAAATATAAACTGTCTGCACATTAATAATGCATTCTTTTTATGTCTCTTTGTCATTGTGTTTCACTTCATGCAAAATTATTTTTTTCACATTCTTTCCTTCTTTACCTGTGAGGGGCTTGGTGGTGGTTTCATGTGTTCGCTTGATCTCTAATTTTGATTGAATTTAATTCTTGGTGGGGTTCTTTTTTTTTGTCTTTTTTGGAACTGGGGGTCGAACCCAGGGCTTTGGGAATGCAAGGCAGACGCTTTGCCACTGAGCTACATCCCAGCCCTGAATTTAATTCTTTAGCTGATCATATTTAATATAAACATCTTCTTAATGCTTGATTGCCTCTACTACAACTGTGTAGAGTCCTTATTTCTCAAGGGAATTCTTTAAAAAGACAAAATGCAATCCATGTAATTCTCCAATGATCCTAAAAGTAATGTTTTTTACTTTTCAGAATAATGATTTTACACTTAAAAGTTCAGTAACTTGGCCAAAGTCACTCAGCTGGTAGGTGTGACCTTGGCGGTTAGGTGTGACCCTGGCAGTCTGACCTTGCTCTGCGAGGTTGCTTTCCATCTTTCCCACTGAGTCTGAGTTCCTCAGGTTTGAAGACATASGCTAGATTTCAAAAGTACAAATTTCCCCCACCTATTAAACCATYACAAATAGGTTCATGGATCTATTAAGGAGCCTTTCCTGTTTACACCTTCAGTTTCAAGTGACGGCAGCTCTTTGTTACCCAGGTGCTGAGTGATGGTGGCTTTCATGTTCTATCTGTTGACTATAGAGGTATGTGTTAAGAACAGTGTTCAAAGATTTCCAAATAAGCAAGAGGCTTTTTTGATGATCGCTTGTTTTGGGGATGGTGATATTGTGCTTGCCTTTGCTTGCTGCCAGGGTTTGGGGACTCAACAGGGAAGCCCACGGAGGAGGGACTGACTGCGGATGCTATTTGTGTCTATGAGTGGACCAAGGCAAGATGTGGTGCCACTCCCGTGTGTCTCTGGGGCCACTCTCTGGGCACAGGGTGAGTGAGAGCTGAAGATGTGTCCTTTGGTGGGGACTTGGGGCTTTAGGGTCACATCAAAGGCAGCCGAGAGCAGTGGAAGGGGCACTGAGCTCTAGGAGATAGGGACTCTTTTCTGGTTTCTCTTCTTCTCCAGAAATGGCTAGAGACCTTGCTATCTCAGTTTGCCTGTTTGTAAAACAAGGGAGGGTCCTGTCAGCTCCATGGATCTAGGACACTGAAGTTCATTCTGGACTTTCCTGGAGAGTTTTAAAGAAAAGGATTTTTAATTTAGGGCTTGTGGAAACTCTTGAAATCCTGTGCAAGTTTGTGTCAGAGAGCTCAGAGCTTTCATCAAATACTCATTCTGGATGTTTTGCATTTTGTGTTACTTAATTGACTATTAAGTCATTGCTTCACATATGGACTAATATGCATTGCTTTACAGAGTTGCAACAAATGCTGCAAAAGTGTTAGAAGAGAAAGGTAATGTAAAATGTTTCCATGGATTAATTTCTTGGCTTCAGGTGGGAAATAGAAAGAATCAAGAGACTGTTGTGTCCACTTTGAACACAGAGATGCCAATGGCATCCTTTTGTGGACAGTTCCTTGCAGGTAACAAACGTTCTTCTCTTTACTTAATATAAAATAATGGTTGCTCTGGGGGCTATGAAATTTAAAATTAATACCAAGGGAAGAATTAAAAATTAATACCAAGGTATTAAATTAAGATGAATTTTCTTTGTGAAGTGATGTTAATTAAAATTTCAGGAGAGGAAAATAACATTATGAAAGGATAGTCAGGACTTGGTTTCTGCAGTCCTTCTTATATAATAGCTATGTCAATATTTCTTCAAGCAATTTATTTATTTATTTCATATCAGGGATTGAACCTAGAGTGCTTTACCACTGAGCCACATCTCCAGCCCTTTTTGTTTCTTATCTTGAGACAGAATCTTGCTAAGTTGATTAGGGCCTTGCTAAGTTGCTGAGGCTCGCCWCAAACTTGTGGCCTCAGCCTCCCAATTTGCTGGGATGATAGACATGTACCACTRCACCTGGTCTCAAAGTGATTTGAGAATAGCTTGTATCAGAATCTATTGAGTGCATTTGTGAAAAATGTAGGYTTCCTGGATCCTACCTGGTTTCACAAATTAGAATCTTTATGAATAGGGCCAAGTAATATTTTTTAAGATAAAAAATTGGGGCTGGGGATGTGGCTCAAG